TGCCACATGTGGATGATATCCTAGATAAGTTTGGTGAAGCACGAGTGTTTACCAAGATTGATCTAAGGAGTGGATATCATCAGATTGCAATGGATGATGCATTTATCTCCAAGACGGCATTCAATACAAGCTTCAGACATTTTGAGTTTACAGTTATGCCGTTTGGTTTGACAAATGCACCAGCCACATTTACTAGGTTGATGACGGAAGTATTTGGGTGTTATCTTCATGAGTTTGTGGAGATTTTCTTGGACAATATTCTTGTTTTTAGCAAGAATATGGAGGAGCATAAGATGCATTTGCGCAAGGTTCTTTTGTTCCTCCATATCTTTTCCTGCAAAGGACGTCAAACGAGTCAAAAGGAAGATAATTCCAAAAGCTACAAGACGGCCATTTGCTACCTTGAACATCACTCTTCCTATCAAAATTGAGAGTAGCACGTTGCTGTGCTTAGCCTGCACTCAAAGTCCACATTAGAAAAGTCCCCAGTTTGCTTTTCTTGCGCCAGAAACAAAGGAGAGAAAAGACCAAAGAAATGGAGAAAAGAGAAAACAAAGAGGGGCTTACCACAAGAAAACAAAGATTGCTTACTGCAACAGTGTACGAGACAAGCAGGATCTCCAAGCTCTTGAGGTAGCAAATGAAGGCTACAACCTCAAATAGAGAGATGGCCAACAGCACTGGAAAGAAGTGAATCAAAAGCGAGAACGACTTTGGGCTGTAAAAGATAACGCAGGAGTCAGCCAAGCTATCACCTGAGAGAGATAAACAAGCCAACCTTGTGACAAGTAGATATAGAACCATGGGAACAGCCATAAAGCCTCATTGGAGAGCAGCAAAATTGAGAAGCGATGGTGCCAAGTGACCAGCCATTTTGTCAAGGCTGCAAAGACAATGGAGCTAAGAAGCCATAAATGAATCTCGAGAAAATGAACCTGTTACTTATGCTCATTAACGCTGCAACACCCAGCATGAGGAGTGTCCCCTCTTCCCTTTTGCAAACTTTAAAACAGGAAAAGCAAAAAAAAGAGAGAGAGAAATCTTTACCATTGAATCTGTGGCCAGCAGGAAGAATTCCCTCCAGGAATCGCCACCGGAGGGGGGTTCTTCTCACTGAAATCCAACACGACACCATTGCCATTGGTGGAAAACTTTGGGACCTTGTCACATGCCTTGGACGAGTTCCAAGGAAGCAAAGGAAGAACCGAGACGATCTTGCCTGGGGGCTCGTCGGATTTCTTCACCTCCACCTCCACCGGGTGATCAAGCACGAAAACTTTATGCAAAGAAGAGCAAATGTGAGTATGCAAAGTTAGAGGTGGAATATCTAGGCCATATTGTGACATTTAAGGGTGTCAAGACGAATCCAAAGAAGGTGTCTATGGTGGAAAATTGGCCTACACCGATTACAGTGGTCGAGTTGCGTTGGTATGGCTAGTTACTATCGACGTTTCCAGCATAAGTTTGCAAATGTGGCTATTCCTTTGACATGGTTGTTACGCAAGAATGTGCCATTCGAGTGGAAGAAGCCACAAGAGAAGAGTTTTATGGTGCTAAAATGATTGTTGAGCGAGACTCCAGTGCTTTGCATTGCTGATCCATCAAAACCTTACGAGGTGACATGCGATGCGAGTGGTTATGCACTATGCAAGAGGGACAGCTTATTGCATATGAGAGTCGAACTTTGAATTCCACGGAACAACACTATTTCACATATAAGCAAAAGTTACTCTCTATTGTTCATGCTTTGCAGACGTGGTGGCATTATCTTTATGGTGCAGTGTTTGTGGTGTTGACAAATCACAAACCATTTGTGTATCTTTTCACACAGAAGGAGTTGAACATTAGACAAGCTTGTTGGATGGTCAAATTCATGGAGTTTGGGGAGTTTCCTATTGAGCATCATCTGGGAAAATCAAATATGGTGGTTGATGTTTTATCTCGTGTTCATCATATGACGACATTACAAACATGACTTTGTCATCATTTGAGTAAGGTGGTCAGCGAATTTGGGCAATTGGTTGAGCATGCTCAGGCTCAGGATGCTAAGGTGGCCTCTTTGCGAGACCAGATGGAAGCCCCTTTCTCATTGGTGGATGGGATTCTCTACTAGAACGGTTGTGTATATTTGCCACAAGTGGATGTGCTAATTACTCAGGTTTTATTCCACTATCATGATCATCCAGAGGCCAGTCATTTTGGGGAGAAGAAAACATATAACTTGATTAAGCACAATTTTTATTAGAGGAATATGAAGGCCAATATCCTCAAGTATTGTAAATCATGCAAGCTCTATCAGCGGGTTAAGGTGCCACAAGAAAAACCAGGGGGACTTCTGCAACCTTTACCTATTCTTCAGAGCCGTTAGTGTAGTATCTCTATGGACTTTATCACTTATTTGCCACGAATACAGAGGCAAAAGGAGCAAGTATGGGTCATAGTGGATCAATTGACGAAGTATATGCAGTTGTTGGCTTTTCGGAAGACTATCACTACCTCAGACTTGGCTACAGTTTACTTGGAGAAGGTTTTTCTTGATTTTGGTTTGCCAGAGGATATCATTAGTGATTGAGATTCAAAGTTTTCCCGTGGATTTTGGAAAAGCTTTGCAAAAGCTATGCAAGTGACTTTGAAACTCTCGAGTGGAGATCATCCTTAAATAAATGGGCAAACCAAGCATGTGAATCAAGTGATGGAGGATATACTACGTTATAGCATTGGTCAAAGGCAAGGATAGTGGGATCTATATCTTCCGTTGCTGCAATTTTCTTATAATAATAGCCAATACAGTGGAACCAAGCTAAGTCTTTACTTTGCCATATTTGGAAGGCATCCTCTAACAGCGGTGGAGTTGGGATTGCATTTGAGTAAGGACGTTCAAAATAAGCTTGATTCCAAGATAATTGATCTAGCCACAGAACTTGATGAGATTCTAATGGTGTGCAAACGGAATTTGTAAGCAGCTCAGGATAGAGCGGAGAAGTTTGCCAATAAGCATCGCCAATTCCGGGAATATAAGGTGGGTGATCTCGTCTTTGTGCGAGTGATCTTTCCGTCAAGTGAGTGGCAGAACACCTTGGTGCCTTTACAGATAAGGAAGAGTGATAAACTTTCCCATCGATATACTAGTCCATATGAAGTGTTGGAGTGCATTGGTAAAGCGGCTTATCGGGTGCAACTGCCAGCTGGGGTGAAAATTCATCCGGTATTTTATATCAGCTAATTGAAAAGTGTACTATCTTGGAGTGACAGGTCCAATGCCTCCTTGATGTATACGGCTGTGGAAGATGGACTAGAAGCTTGAGCAAAGTTCCCCAGAAAGGGTGATCACCGGTACAACTCATCCTTGGGACAAAGACTTTGTTTGGGGGGGAAGGGGGGGGGGGGAAGAATTGTTAGGTGCCAGCTTTGACCACGTGGTCAACATCAGTCAAAGGGAGGCTCAAGGGTATATTAAGGCATGTTAAAGTAAAGGACTAAACCCTACCCTAGGGCTCATAGTGGAGCGGCGGCGCAGTAGAGCTTTTGAGGTAGCTTGGGGGTGGTTGGGTGGTGAGGAACCTCAAGAGGTGGCATAGCATAGTCTAGGGCAATTAAATCTTTGTCTTTTTGTGCCGGATCATAACAAATGTACACAGCAACTAGGAGAAAATTGTCACCACACTTGTACAGGTACATGATTCCTTCCACTGCAAGAGGAACACACCCCAGGCTCTTGAAGAACACATCAATGCGTTCAAACCAAACCCTTAGGGATTGTTTAAGCCCATACAGGGCACAATTTAGCTTGCAAACAAGATGTTCCTCGCCAGGTTTGATGAATTCAGGTGGTTGCATGATGTAGACCTCCTTGTTCAACTTGCCGTGCAGGAAAGCAGTGCGAATGTCCAACTGGTGCAGTTCCAGGTCGTACTTGGCAGCTAGTGCAAGGATCACTCGCACAGAGGTCAACTTCACAACTGGTGAGTACATCTCCATGTATTCCAAACCTGGAATCTGGCTGAATCCCTGTGTGACAAACCTGGCCTTGAACTTTGCTACAGTTCCATCAGGTTTGTACTTGACTGTGTAAATCCATTTCAAGCTCACAAGGTGAGCACCTTCAGGTAAGGTTGTCTTTGTCATTGTATTGTTTCGCTCATGCAAATGCATTTGAGCATTTATGGCTTCTCACCACTGGGCAGCATGAGGTCCAGCTAATGCCTTGTCAACATTTGCTGGAATGGGGATTTGCTCTGGATTAGCAGCCACGAAATTAGCCTGGTGTGTTCCTTTCTTTTTAATTTTTCCAAAACTAAAGAAGGGACAAGATTGCTCAGCTTCCAGTTGCAGCCTCAATGGTACAGGAACTCGAGCAGAGCGCTGAGGTTCAGGACGTGCTAGAGGGTGGATCACAGGTGGTGGAACAAGTGGAGAGTCTGGGAGAGCTCCCACTGAAGTTGGAAACCTGCTTCCAGCTCCCACTGAAGGTGATGATCCACGTCCAGCTCCCACTGAAGATGAGCCGAGGAAGAACTCAGGAGCAGCTTGAAATTCCTCGTCACCCTCGAAGTAAGTGTTCATCAGCTCTTCAGAGAAGCTAGGTGTTTTCACTGGAGGAGATTCTTGTAGAGGCGTAGCTGGAGGGCGTGCTGGCAGTGCTGGAGGAACCACCACGTTACCACCAGCAGGAGCAAGAGGCAGCAACGGGACTTGAGAAGTAGCTGTAGTCATGTGAATTGTGTCCACCAGCTGGAGTTCCACGAAAGTAGCAGGAACTTCAGTACGATCCTTGTACAGCTTGCTCTCATCAAAGAGCACATCCCGTCTTTCCAGCAAAGTCTTGCGCTTGAGAGAATAAAGGCGATATCCTTTCATGCCTTCCAAATATCTCAGCCTTTGACTCCAGCTTTGACATTGCTTGTGTGCATAGGCGAAACAGCCAAAAATGCGGGTGCGTGACCAATCCAAAGTTCATAAAGAGTGGTCTTCCCAGGCAGGGCACGTGTTGGCAACCGGTTTCAAACATAAACAGCCGTGTTAACTGCCTCACCCCAGAAAGCAGCTGGCATTCCTGCGTGAAGCAGCATACAGCGTGCAGCTTCTCTGATGGTGCGATTCACCCTCACAGCAGCACCATTCTGGGCATGTGCATCAGGGACAGCATACTGGCGCTGGATCCCAGCTTCAGCACAAAACGTCTCAAATTCTCCAGAGACGAATTCTCTTCCATGATCGCAGTGGAGCACACGAACTAAACAGCCGTGTAAATTTTCTACCAAAGCCTTGTATTGGCTGAAGCAGGAGAACACCTCTGACTTGTGAGCCAGCAGGTACACGATCAGGTACCGCGTGTAATCATCCAGGAAGGTGACTACGTAACGTTTGCCTCCCAAAGATTCAACCATAATCGAACAAACGTCCGAGTGTACCAACTCAAGAACAGAACTTGCTTGAGAATGAGAAATCTGTGGAAAAGGAAAAACGTGGTGTTTTCCACCAACACAAGCTTCGCAGAAGGGCAGCGCGCTCCCAGGCGCTACAGGAACGCTGGTGTCAGGTTGCAAGTGTCGGTGGAGCCCGAGCCATCAGCGCCACAGGTGGAAGGATCACGTGAGCATCCAGGCGGTAGAGCGTATCAACTGGAACTCCAAAAGCAACCTTGTCTCCAGTCTCGGCATCCAGCACGAACGCTCCCTGTGCTGTGAAGAGAGTATCGAAGCCTACTTGAGCAGCAGTTCCAATCGACAGCAGCGTGTGTGTAAGTCCCAGAACATAAGACACAGGATAGATCTCCCGGATTTCTCCAGAAGAGAGCTGAACGCTGATTGTTCCTTTGCCTAGTACGTCGTGAGCAGAGGAGTCACCGAGTCCCACGGCGTCACTCTCACACGGTTCTTGGTAGTCAAAAAACAAGGAAGCCATGGGCGTCATATGGAATGACGCTCCAGAATCCAGCCACAGCTCTGGTCCGAGCACGGGCTGGTGGCTGCTGCTTGCAGAGAGAGCCATCAAGAGCTTACGAGGAGTCCCAGAGCCCTTGTCTTTGTTTCCTTTGTCTTTGTTCTTGGCAGCTTTAGCACGATCAGCTTTCTTCTTCTTGCAATGTCCAGGTTTGTGGCAATAGTGACAAATGCCACGAAAACCAGTGTCGTTCGGCTGAGCTTGAGATGATCCTCCCGCAGCGCCAGCATAAAGCAAGGAAGATTTGGCAGAGGGCATCGCTTCTTTCTTCCCCTTTATCTTGCGTTCCTCTTCAATTAGGGCACCCACGACTGATCAAAGTTCATGGCCATGTGAGATAGAACAGATGCGAGCGTGCTAAACGCAGGCGTGACGGTTGCAAGCAGCAACGCCCTAGCGCGATCGTCCGTGACAGGAGACCCAGCACCAGTCAATTCAGCCATTAGCCCTCGAATCCGTCCCACGTACACAGCAATGGTTTCACCCGTTTCCATGTGAAGCGCCAAGAATTGTTGATTCAGCAACATGGAAGAATTTGCGGCTTGAGCCACGAAGATCGTGCGAAGCGACGTCCAGATTTCAGCAGCGGTCTTGGTGAGATCAATCAGCGGCAAGAATTCATCGCTCAATCCCAAGCCAATGACGGTGATGGCTTGCTGATTGCGAAAATCCCAATCTGATTGTAGCGTCTGCTCAGCGGGACGAGGCTCAGTCCCATCAAAGATGTTGAAGCTACTGTCTAGAATACCTGAATCCTCTTCGCTCACGACCACGGCATCACATCCCTGCTGCGCGGCCTTCTTCTGGAGCTCCTCGTCGTCGTCTTCATTCTCCAGAGAGGATCAGCCTGATTCTTGTCGCCCATGTGAAGAAATTCGTGCCACCGAATTTCTCCACTTTCTCTGTGGAAGCCACGAGAACTTGAGCAGCAACCGGTGGCGGTGGCAGCAGCAGCGGCTGGTGGGGGCGGCGGAGGTGGTGGTGTGGTTGAAGCGGCCATGACAGCAACGTCAAATCAACCAACCAGGATCGCCCCCGAAATCCGATACCATGTTGTGATGTGAAAAGGGATGGACATAACACTCATGAGCTCGTTCATTGTTCCGACTATATTTACATGACTCAAGGGACATGACTCATGACCACGTGGACATGCCACGTCAGCTGATCGAGACTGACATCCAACATAGGTTTTATTTTCAGGGTTTGGTGTCTCCTCCACATGATGCCGGCTTGGGGAATCAACATTGTGAGCGCGTTTTGTTATGCTTAATCTTATCAATGAGATCTATCCTTTCTTTTCTTTGTAGACCATTGCAGCAGTTCCCCCGCCAGTCAATGCCACAAGTGGCAGTGAGGAAAATGGGGAAGAAGCTACGCATGCAGCTGCAGTCTCAATTATGGTCCAGATTATCATGCTGGGAATATCGTTCCTTGTAGGACATATGCTTAGACGCAACAAGATTATGGTGATTCACGAGGCTGGAACTGCGCTTGGGCTTGGTACGTTGCTGTTTGTCATTTTTCGTTTGTTTTCAACCTTACGTGCTTCCTAGAGTCATTTGAGAGTTTGTTTAGGGGTTCTTGTTGGACTGTTTGTACGCCTTGTCGGGCAAGCACAAGGTTTCAGGTATCTTCCCTTTGTCTTTCAATAAAGATTCTGATCGAAGAACTCGATCAGGTCATGGATTAATTTTAACGAAAGCTTTTTCTTTTATTTTTTGCTCCCCCCGATCATATTATATCCTTTTATTTCTTCTCTGAGGCATGATCTTTGTGTCCTTAACCAACTTGTATCTACTGAGTCAGGCTGGAGTTTGCGCAGTGTAAGCTGCAACCGTGAGAATATTATCACATGCCTCCTCATGTTTTAAACGCAGAAACCATTTTTCCACAACTTCGGAGCCATATGTGTCTTTGCATTTTTAGGAACCGCTATCTCTACGTTTGGTGTTGGAATTCTCATGCAAGTCTTTGAAATCTCCACCATTTTGTAACGCTTATATGCATGTTTTAGCAGTTACATTTTTGGAACTCTCAATTGGACTTACTCAATGCCATTTTTAGCTTGTCTTGCTTATGGTGCTCTGATATCAGCAACCGACCCTGTCACTGTCCTTGCAATTTTTCATGTAAGCTACAGTTACAAAGCCAACAACATTTTGCCTATTGTCCTTTCAATACAGGCTTTGGGAGCAGATGCTAATTTATATGCTTATGTCTTTGGAGAGTCAGTGCTTAACGATGCTGTGAGTAATGTTGTTCATTAGCCTGAAACAATGTTCTTCGTGTGTCTCAGGTGGCTATTGTCATGTATAAGTGAGTCTGCGAAAAGAAAAGACCCATTGTCGGTTTTTTTAGTTTCATACTTTTTAATTTGTGGCAGGACAGTTCTCTCCTTTATCAAGCATCCAGAAAGCACGGGCATTTTTAGTGCATTTTGGTTTTTCATTGCGATTTTTATTGGATCTTTTTCAATTGGTGCGTTAAGCAAATATTTCATCGTATACAAGCTGATCATGCGTATCTGTAGGTGTACTGACGTCTATGCTTAGTGCGGTCATGTTTAGGCATTGTGGCCTTCAAGAAAAAGGGTAGGTTCCTTGTGTTTTTTTTTTCGTAACGTGTACCTTTTTCTTTGCAGGCTTGCTATTCTAGAATCATGTCTTATGGCACTATTTCCCTATCTTGCATATAATATGGCAGATGCTCTTGAACTATCTGGGATCGTAGCAATACTATTTGCAGGCATTGTAAGTTCTCCTTGGTAATAGATTATTTACATTTCATTATTTAGACGATGAAGTATTATACTGCTCCTAATCTCTCATCAGAAGCACAACAAATTACAACAAGTTTTTTTGGAATGCTTTCAAAACTTTCTGAGACATTTGTGTAAGCGTAGACAAGTCACTCTTCGAACTGACAATAAAAACAGGTTTATCTATATGGGTGTGGCTCTTTTCCTAGAAGAACAGAGCTGGAACAACTTTGGGTTCACAGTGTTCACAATTGTATCCTTTTTAATGAAATTTGAGCAGTGCCAAAGGTTTCTTTAACTTTGGTGACAAATTGTAGATCAGTATATTGGTTGCAAGGTACAGCTTTTCCTAAACATAAATACTCTGACTGTTTGTATTGTACAATATAAACAGAGCATGGAATGTCTATCCTTGTGCTGCCCTGCTCAACAATTTTAGAGAACCAGCAAGACAGATACCCATGAATCAACAGCACGCTCTTTGGTACGGTGGTGAGTTTCCTCGTCTGAAGAAGAACATTACATCTCTAAATAAAATCTCAGGTTTACGAGGAGCTATGGCCTTTGCGTTGGCATTGCAGTCTGTTCAGGACATTCCTGATCATCATGGGCGGGTGATGCTAACCGCTACAATGTTCACAATATTTTTCACGGTTGGCTTTATTTGTGTTGAATTTTTAAAGCAGTCTCAGATTATTTCAATTTACTTTGAATTTCAGGTTATACTGATTGGTGGCACAACGTACTACGCGCTTATGTATTTAAATATTGAATGCCATGGACCAGATTATCACGGAGCAGAGGTATCCTGTAACATCACACACACTAGAACGTTTAACAAACGCCTTTGATTGTAGGAAGAGGAGACCATAATCGAAGAACAACAAGATGTATTTTTTATTGCATGCATATATACTAATTGTCTTTGTCCCGGAGTTTTGTTGCAGGAAACAGTTGAATATGATCGTAATGTTGATGGCTTTGGCATTAAGGCTTTGAAAAAGCAGAAAGCACTAATCAAGAATAAGCTGCGAAAGCTGAAGAATTATGAGTTCGTTATTTCAACCCCTTTCTTTCGTGGCTGACATTATGTTTTTTTATGCAGAACATCGTTTGCAACTTTAGACAAAAAGTATTTAAGGCCGTTTTTTGTACCTGAGACAGTTTCCGAAGGCACAACATCTCAGGATGTAGAACTGCAAGAACGTAAGTTTTAAAGGGATTTTAGTAAAAAATACGGCCTTTTTGCTCTTCTTACAGAGATGAGTCAAAATATAGCTAGAATGTCTGCAATACACAAGCATGAGGCAGAGCTTGCTAGAATAACACAAATAGAAGAACACCAAAAGAGAAACAGCCAGCAAAGTTATTTTTCTCAGCAACGATCTGTTCCGCAGCCAACAAGCTCTTACATTCAACCAGAACATTACACTGACAGTTACACAAACTATAACCCGGAAAGATACCCAAGTTACTCGTTTGATGGCTACTCCAATACGAACGACACCAATCGTGAAAATAATTAGCTTTGAAATGTGAGGTTGTCAGAAATTTCCCTTTCAGTGAAAATCAGATCTTAGCCATTTTCCAAAAATTTAGATAAGAATCTACATTATACACACCACTTCTGACGTTTTCCCAGAAATGTTTTAGCTAGGCTATCGCCCTCACATTCCAGAAAAAAAGAAAATGCTATGTGAGATTCTGGACAACATATGGGCTGCCTTCTGTTGTTCAATAGGAAAGGCCACAGAAACTAGAAGGAATACTAGAAGCTTATACTCGTGTATAAAGAATCTTGGCCCAGCAATTGATTGCCACTGTCTCGCCTAGCAATTGTCACTGCTCCCGATCTGAGGAAGATGAAGCTAGTAAATTCTTCTGTGTATGCATTCTTACTTTCCTTTCTCCTTGTGAGTTATTTTTACTTTCACATTTTCAGTCGAGGATTTTTAGTTTCTTTCTCCTTTCTCTGAGCTTTATTTACGCTTATCTTTGTACAGGGCAGCGACAACCCTTTAGAATCGGCCCTGATTTTGAGTATAGTTCTACGAGCTATGGATGATATCCCGGGTAGCCTCTCTTTTCGTTTCGGTTTTTTAGTTTTTTTCTCTGAGCTTTATTAGTAAAGTTCTAGCGAGCTACAGGTGATATCCCGGGTAACCTCTCTTTTTAGTTTGATATTTCATCATTGCACAGTATGCCATTGTGGATTTGAAAGGTTGCAAGGCTTTATCTGCTGATCCCAGCGGCAGGAATAGCGAGCTTCTTTGCTGGCATATCAACACCTACTAAAACTCGGAAATGACAGAATGACCACCAGCATATAGGCATTAATGGTGCCTGCAAGCTTAACATTTAGTAGCGCAGTGAAACGATTGAGTGAAACCTTTATTAATGCTGTGCTGTAATATTCGAGATATAAGCAATGAAATGCCTCCAAAAAGGAGGCTATCAGATTGTTTTTTTCAAATTTGTTTATGTTTTACAAGCATGT